GGTATGCGAGTAATATGCGGCAATTCGCATACCCCATCGCATAACTGAAATAACTGAAAGATGAAAGAAATAAAAAAATAAATAAAAAAATACACTTTCGAGTAGAAGTGCAAAGGGGGTATGCTAGCAATATGCGGTAATTCGCATACCGCCTCGCATAACTGAAAGATGAAAGAAATACGAAAAAAACTTATTATGCACTAATTCCGCGAATAATATGCGACGTTGGCATGTCGCAGTTGTGTCGCAGTATAAGTTTTTCGACTAACAGTAGCAATTCATTCGCCTAACAAAAATAATTATTTAATGGGCGACGTACCGCGATTGACCGAATTGTACATCGAATCTCCGAATATTCATCGTAGAACAGTCGCATAATTTAACTCATAATTTTCTCGCCCATGCTCATACCTGTCGCCTATTTAGTGCATAGTTCATCGCATATGTCTTCGTACTTTTTGGGGGTGAAAAACTTAGCTTTTTATTGGGTGGTGTGAAAAACTTAGTATGACTTCAGAACGGGGTGAAAATAGCTATTTCCTCTATTATGTTTGTGATTGATGACATTCATTATATTAGAAATTATTGTATTATAGGTTAGAATTGATTGTCTTATGAATTAGAATTTATTGCTATTTTGTTAGAGGTTAGAAATTATTGTATTATAGATTAAAACTGATTATGTTATAAATTATTATTTATTACTATTATGTTCAAAGTTGGATATTATTATGGTATGATTTAGAATTGATAGCCTTATGAAATAATATTTAGTACTACTATGTTAGAAGTTAAAAATTATTATGGTATAGGTTATTACTATTATAAATTAGAATTTATTACTATTTTGTTAGAACGCTTTTCCTACTATAATATTCAAACGAATCATATAACTCTGAGAAAAGTGTCAAACATTCTCTTGTCATAAAATTCGGTCAAATAATACTCTGAAAAAAGTGTCAAACAATCTCTTGTCATATAACTCTGAGAAAAGTGTCAAACAATTAGTATTATGTTATATAACATAATAATTAATGAGTTCTAACATAATAATAATAAAATTCTATAAGATAATTAGTTATAATTTATAATTTAACAATTTCTAAATTCTAACTATGAGATATTAAATTCTAATTTATAACATAAATCTAAATTCTAATATAATGTATATAATTTAAAATTTGATTTTTCTTAAAAAAATAAAAAAAATTGGCCGGCCGGCCGGCAAAATCGGCCGTGCATGGGCCGGCCTACCGGCAAAACCGACCGTGCATGGGCCGGCCAACCGGCAAAACCGGTCGTGCATGGCACGGCCAACCGGCAAAACCGGCCGTGCATGGGCCGGCCAACCGGCAAAAAGAAGGCCGACACGGCTACGGCCGGCATTCGAGGCCGGCCGGCCCAAAAAAAAAAA